ACATAAAACAAAAAGTTGTCTAAGCAGGGGTGAGGTGGGATGGGCCGGCTTCCATAACCAGACCAGCGGTGTGACCTGGCCAATTGTCTAATTTTTCAGTGTCACAGATTTCTCACCTGTACAATGGGCATGACAGTGTCTGCCCTCCCACTGCCCAGGGATGTGGACTGGGAGAGCGGGTTTTGGAAAGTTCTTTGTAAACTGTCATGCAGAATCGATAAGGTGTCTGCACTTCAGCGCCTTGATGCAGGGATCAGAGCTTTAGGGCTACTCCAGGCAGGGCTGCACTGGCCCTTTCTGCAGGTGGCTGCTCATTTCAGGCTGTGTCTCATCATTTTCTGTGTTCTGTGGTTCACTGAAGAACCCCAGTTGAGAAAGGCCAGGACCTGGCAGACCTGGAAGCCACTCACCCCAGGTTTGGGTAGACAGGCAAGAGAGAGGCGGACATTGGAAGGTTGCGAAGGGTCTCAAAACAGGTCCCTAAATGCCAGGCCAGGACTGCGTGACAGGGGACATGACCATCCTGTTCCTGCTTCATTTTGATAATGAAGCAGTTCCAGGACACCAGTTTTTACATCTCTGGTTTGCAGGTGTATTTGTCAAGCTTTTCCTTAGACCTCTGTGTGCAGGAGCAGTGGGCTCAGGAGGCCCCAAGAGCTGAGGTCACGGCTCTGGCTGCCTCTGGGCTATGTGCCGCTCTAGTAAGTGTACTGCAGCCTGGCATGGCTGGAGGAGGGGCAGCGGCTAAGTGGTTTCTGAAAAAGGGCAAAAATGATGGGAAAAGCTTTGGTATCCTCTGGGAATCAGAGCTGCGGCAACAGCAGCTGCTGCCATTGCTGGAAACGTTTGCCTTGAGTGCCAGAGTGCACCCACAGCCCACCCCGCCAGCGTGCAGCAGCCGCGGCCAGGCCCGGGGAGGGGCCGGGACCCTCGCGGGGGCAGGGAGGCTGCTCCCCTCCCACAGCAGCCAAGTCTGCCTTCAAGTAGCAGCCACCTTCAAGCGCGCGGGCGCCTGCCGGGTCTGGGTTGTGCCTGCGTCTAGCTGGTGAGTCCCTTTTGTTGTTCGATGGCCAACACAGATGTTAACTTTTAGAATGGCATAGTGAGCTGGGCCCTGCCACTCTGCAGCTGTGTGACTACGGGCAGTTCAACTAGACTCGCAGCGCCTCAGTTACTCCATCTGGAAACTGGGGCTAACAGTGGCTGCCTCCAAGGTGATGTGAGGCTGAAGCTGTAGTGTGCGTGGCCCGGCTCGTCGCCAGCATGCGGGCAGGGAAAGGGGTGGTGGCTGCTATCCACGTTTATTGTATGTGCTCCTGCGTCAGGGTCACCCCGCTTGGAGGCTGGGGGTTTTCAGGGCACTGCCCTCTCTGTGGAGTGCGGGAGTGTGGGGCTGGGAGGCAGGAGCCCTGGGTTCTTGTCCGGCTCTGCTGTCTCCTTGTTCTTGGCAGAGCTCCTCTGTTCTTCATCCCCGGGTTGGGAAGCCCCCAGTTCTGCATCCCTCTTTTGGAGATGCTCAGGTAGGATGAGGGGACTAGAATGAGCTGGCTGGGTCCCAGGCCACTGTTCTCCCAGCTTCTCAGAATGTCACAGGCAGCAAGAGGGAGGTGCTCCCAAGAGGCTGCAGGGATGGACGCTTTGGGCACAGAGGGGAGTAGGACAGCCACACCCCAGGATGTCTCACCTGGACTGGGGAGAAAAGAAGGGGATGTCTCCTAGGTGTGGCTAATGTCCTCTCTGGCTCTGGAGTTGAGAAAGACCCAGAGGTCAAACCAGGTCTTTGTGGGCAGGGTCGTTCTTTCATGACCATCCTTCAGTCCAGATTGATGAGTTTGTGAGTCTCGTGTAAACCACCATCTCCATCAGACAACCAACACGTCTGCCTAGATCACGGTAGGAAATATCACGGTAGGAAATCTCCCCCACTGCCCCCATCACTGCAGAATATTCTGCTGTGGCAGGTGCCTCACTGTGGGGTTCATGTGCAGAGTACACCCCACGCCTGACAGTGACAGACTATCCTGTCCCTGTTCCTCTTCCCAGACTCGAGCAAATGGCCCCTTACTACCTGTCCCACCCTTTGCCTTGGGAGAAGTTTGGTTTCCAGTATGGAATCAGGTGCAGTGTGCAGTGTAGATTCAGGGTTTGCTGACTGACTCAATGACAGTAATGTGTGGGCTGCTTCCTGTTTACTGCGTTCGGATAAATTGGGACCAGTCAGGGAAAGAGACAAAGCCGCTGACAAAGAACATTGCTGGAAGGTTTGCGGAGGCTCCCGCTGAGAGGTGCTCTCTCGTTGGGCTGTTAAAAGCTGCTGGTCAGGGATTACTTTGTTTTTGGTTTTGTAGCCAGCCTTACCCAAGGAGGGACCACAGACATTTCTGGGAGAGCCAGGTGTGGGATATGGCCTGGGTCTTATTCATACTTCATTTTGGGGTTTTGAGCTTCCTGGGGTGCTTGTTTGAGCAGGAGGGTGTTTCAAGTTTGGGCCTTATGCCTGTCTCCAGGGGTGGGAGTGCCTGGTCTGACTGGTCCCCAAGGGCTGGAGTCAAGTATGGGCTGAGCTGAATGGCCGAGAAAGAGCTCTGAGCCCTGACAATGGTCATAGAGTCTTGGAGATGCTCTGGAGCCTGGCTGCCTGGGATCAAATCCAGGTTACTAACTGTGTGACCTCCTGCAAGTAACATAACCTCTCCGTGCCTCAGTTTCCTCATCTGGGAAATATTTCCCTCTTAGGGATGTTGTGAGCATTGAGTGAGTGAATGCATGTGAAGTCCTTAGAACAGTGTTTGCTTTGTGCAGAGCACATGCTTACACATGTCAATTATTCTCATTAGCCTCCTGTGCCTTTTAAGTGCTGGCAGGCGCCCTGTCTCCATGCTTCTGAAGCTACTCATGACTTCCTACCATCCATGAAGTAATGTCCACATTCTGTTCCTTGGAGTTCAAGGCTGACAGCCATCTGCCTCTAACCCTGCTGCCTGTCCTCTGGTCCCTCTGACTTCCTCCTCATCAGCTACTCCGCGGATCCCTCTACTCTGCCCTTTCCCCCAGCCCCAGGCTAATCCTGCTCCCCTTCCAGCTCCAGCCCCTCTGTCACTCTTCCACGAAGCCTTCTTCAGCATCCCGACATCTCTTGCAGTCCTTCCGCCCCGGCCAGCACCTGGTTTTTGTCTCAGGGTCTGACTCCTCCCTGTGTCCCTAGCACAGAGCTGGGCACCCAGTAGGACTCAGTAGATGAGTGTTGAGTGATGGATGAACCAGTGGGTGAGTGGTCGGAGGTGGGGATTTCTGTGGCTGGGAGCACTTCCTGCTGTGGGGTGTCCATCTGATGGATGAATCAGAGAAAGACTCAGGCCCTCCTGAAAGCAGATCAGCAGGCAGGAAGGGAAAGGGGCTGGTAGTCAGCTCTCTGTCCTGCTCATAGGATGCCAAGTGGTGAGGCTGCCTCATTTTATTCATGGATCTGGTCCTCAGACCACAGCTACTTTATTGCCATAGCCCAGCCATGTGCTCTGCGTTTTCACTGCCTGAATTTTCACTTGAAAACGCAGTACTTGCGAAGCCTCCCATTCCTTCTGTGGCTGTTTCCTGGAATCCAGCCACTGCTGGAGCATTGATCTCTCTAACTTCCTATGGAAATAGGAATTAGAAGGTCTGTATCTGATTTCTCTTATCTCCCCCACGGTGACCAGCACAGCTCTTCCATAAAGAGATGGATTGGGGAGGTCACAGAGCATGGGGGAGATAAAGCAGAGAGATAGAAATTGCTAGACCACATGGTGGACTGTGCTGGGATGGCCACGAAGGAAGGAAGGAGCAGGGCCCTCTGGAGCGGGGAGGGAGCATGACCAGTGCAGGGATTAGGGGGCTTCGTGGAGGAGGTTGAATCAGTGCTGGATCCTGAGGGGAGGTGGCATCTGAGAGGCAGTAGGATTTGGGCAGGAGGAGATGGAGGAAAAAGGAACCAGGTGGAGGCACCATAGGAGCAAAGAGCCCTGAGATGGACTGTGTGGGACAGCCCTGGGCACCAGGAAGTGGGGCTGCCCAGCCAGGAGCAGGGGAAGCATGGGTCACGGGGTTAGGAAGGGAACGGAAACCAGTATCAACGCGCGCTTACAGCTGCGTGTGCCGACTTGCTTGCCGGCTGGTCTCTAGGTGTTCAGGCCTAGGTGGCCCACCAGCCCCAAATCACTTCAAGCCTAAAAGTTCAGGGCCAGAATGCTTGAAATATACTAACTTCACAGAAATGACTAAAAGCGCGCGTGCGCACACACACACACACACACACACACACACACACACACACACACACACACACTCCTTTAGGAACTCAGTGGTCATGGCAGCCAGGTTGAAGAGCAAAGGTGTGCCATGCACGTGGCTGATGGCATGTGGACACGTGGCACGGGAAAGCCCTGCAGTGCAGAGCGTGAGTCTGTCAGTCTCTGCTGGTCACCATTCGAGGACACAGACCACTGGGCTTTTTCGGGCTGAGCCATCCTGATCACTGAGTTCTTCCCTGAATGCAGCCAGCGACAGCCACTCCTGTTGTTTCCCTCGTTCTGATCTTGGGACGGCGAGCCGTGGTTGTCACCCTCATGCTGCAAACAAGGCACCTGAAGCCCAGAGAAGAAGAGGGATCCAGCTAACACAAGTCCCCCAGAGCCTGCTGGCTCTAAGATGGGAAGCCCGTCCACCCCCAGAGGCAGATGTCAGTGGCTGCAGGACAGCCCACGACTGCTAGGCCTGCTCACCCCTGGGGCCTCTGGTGGTGGTGGGGTGGGGTGGTGGTGGCAAGGGAGGCACTGTCCTGAAAACTTTATTTCTGGGGACCTGGTGGCAGCAGCCAGTTGGACCTCTGGGATGTCCTGTTTCACAGGGGCCTTGGCTAGGAGGGCAGGTGGGGGCTGAGGATGTGCAGTCCTCAAGCTGGAAACAAACCCTGTCTTGGTGGCTGCCTGCAGGCTGCATTTTGGGCCACAGACGATCTGACAAAGATGAAGAAATGGGGTAGCTCAGACTTGGGGGAGTCTGCAGACCTGCCCCAAGAGGATTGCTGCCCAGACTCCTCAGATGGAGACCCTGACTCCAAGCCACCTCCAGCCAAGCCCCACATCTTCTCCACGGCCAAGAGCCGCACTCGGCTCTTCGGGAAGGGTGACTCGGAGGATTCTTCTCCTATGGATTGCTCTTATGAGGAAGGCGAGCTGGCCCCCTGCCCCATCATTACAGTCAGCACTGTTCTTATTCAGAGGCCTGGGGATGGCCCCACCTGTACCAGGTAAGTTTGCATCTGGAGCTCCCTTCCCTGCCCGGAGCCCAACTGTCTCTGCTGGCAGCGGCTCCCATGGTGGAGGTCCAGCTTCTGAGCAAAAGGTCACAGAGCCGTGAAACTGGGCAGCAAGCATTCAGAGGTGGTCTGGTCCAGCGTCTGCATCCCTAAGACCTCATGGGACACATGGTCACTGATGCTGGCTTATATGCTCATCCTAGCTGTGGCTGATATCTAGGTTCCTTGCCTGGAATGCTCACCAGCCCCAAACCCTTAGACTTTAAGTCTAAAAGCTTCAGGCCATGAGGCTTTCAGACAGAGAGTACAAAACAGCTCCAGTGAGGAGCTCACCAGCCCTCCTGCATCCTCCAAGGCAGGGCAGGGAGGGCACACAGGCTAGCTGACTTCTGGGGCAGTGGGAGGACACTTTTTCACTTAGCAGGGACCACCCAAACCAGTGACCTACAGGGTACTGCCTCCTGGGCCCCCGCTCCTGAGCAGCCAGAGAAGTTGCTGGTCTGGGCATAGAGGAGGTGGCAGTGGCAGAGACTTTCTAGATGGCACCTACGGACAGGGTGGGGACAGAATGGGGATACATGTGCCCCACTGTTCCTGTTATGTTGGTTTCCTGGATGGTCACATAGACCGAGGGGTGGCTTTTGCGTGTTGTGTTTTATTCCCTTTTGGTTTGCCTCAGAATTTAGTCATGTTCTTTTGACAAGCTCTGAAGGCCTCAGGGCTCAGGGGAGACCAGGGTATGAGACGAGGGTGTTTCGGTCCCCAGTCAGCTGTCCCAGGACTCAGTCACTGCTGGCGCTGAGAAGCCCCTGAAGCTCTACGATCGCAGGCGGATCTTTGAAGCCGTTGCTCAGAATAACTGCCAGGAGCTGGAGAGCCTGCTGCTCTTCCTGCAGAGGAGCAAGAAACATCTCACAGACAGCGAGTTCAAAGGTGGCCCCAAGACAGCTGGGTTCCCGGGGTGCTGGGGTGGGGGCCCGCCCTGGCCCGCCCTGGCCCGCTCTGACCTCACTTTGTCTCTCAGACCCCGAGACGGGGAAGACCTGTCTGCTGAAGGCCATGCTCAACCTGCACGACGGGCAGAACACCACCATCCCCCTGCTCCTGGAGATCGCCCGGCAGACGGACAGCCTGAAGGACTTCGTCAACGCCAGCTACACGGACAGCTACTACAAGGGTGGGGAGGGCGGCAGGGCCGGGCGTGCCGCAGCCCACAGCACACCTGCCACCAACAGGGCATGGTCCTACCTGGGGCCTCCTTACGCCTCTGAGCTACTTACTCCCTGTCCCAGCCACTGTGTTGGTGTCTCCTGGTCCTGGATGGGGGGTAGGGGAGGGGGAGTCCTTGCCTCCCCATGTGCGGGCCTGGTTTCTCCTGGTTCTGATGGTCCCTGCTTCCCCCTCCTACTGTCTCTTCTCTTGGCCCTGGAAGGTCCCTCTATTACCCCTGCTAACTTAGTGGTCCCTGTCCCTTGATAGAACAGCCTCTGGCCTCCTTCTCTGCTATTGTTCCTTGCCCCTTGGCAATTCTGACTTCTCTAGCTTCCGATCTGGTATCCCCCATTCCCAGGGGTCTCTACTCCTGCCTCAGGAGCTCTGGCCTGGCCTCCTATGGTGGGGGGGCATCTGGGCGCTTTCTGCCCAGGCAGGAAGCCCTGCAGGACAATGATCACAAAGCTGATGGTGCACATCCTCCACAGGCCAGACGGCGCTGCACATTGCCATCGAGAGGCGGAACATGGCGTTGGTGACCCTGCTGGTGGAGAATGGAGCAGACGTCCAGGCTGCAGCCAATGGGGACTTCTTTAAGAAAACCAAAGGGCGGCCTGGCTTCTACTTTGGTAGGGAGACCATGTAGCAGACACTTGGCTTTTTCACTTTTGCTAAGGGGAGGTTTGGGGCAGAGATAGAGGGGGTGGGAAGCCTGGTGGTTCAGGGACGAGCCCAGTCTCCTGCCCAAGCCCATCGCGGGCCCTTTGTTGGCTGCAGGTGAGCTGCCTCTGTCCCTGGCTGCATGCACCAACCAGCTGGCCATCGTGAAGTTCCTGCTGCAGAACTCCTGGCAGCCAGCAGACATCAGCGCCAGGGACTCGGTGGGCAACACCGTGCTGCACGCATTGGTGGAAGTGGCTGACAACACAGCTGACAACACCAAGTTTGTGACAAGCATGTACAACGAGATTCTGATCCTGGGGGCCAAGCTGCACCCCACACTGAAGCTGGAGGAGCTCACCAACAAGAAGGGGCTCACGCCGCTGGCCCTGGCTGCTGGGAGCGGGAAGATTGGGGTAGGAGAGGGGGCTTCGGCCCTGAGCTGGAGGTGTCACTCAGTGAGGGTGTTGTGGGAGAGGACACCTGCCCCACTGTGTGTGCCTGGCAGGGCTCTGATTCTGTCACACCAGCGTGCATGGCTGCTAGAATAAGTGAGAGGAGTTGTGAGCAGCTAGGCAGAACCCGGTATGGAGATGTGGCCATTTCTGATTTCCAATTCTCCATAAGACCAGCAGGACACAAGGGTGTGGGAGGTGTTGGGGCCTGGGGATTGTTAGGTTTGGCGAGATGGAGAAAAGGGAGAGAGAGAGAGAGACCCAAGCCAGGTGCTATTTCAGCCAAAAAGCTTTATCCCACTAACGTGGAGGGGAGATTGAGCCAGATCGATTCCCCCGAACAAAGGAACACAGGAGTTTATAAGCCTTTGAGGGTTCTGGCGGAGTAATGTGCCATTTTGAAATCAGAGGTACGCAAGGTGACACAGCCCTTGTAGTCTGCTAACACCTGGTCGGTTAGGGCATAGGCTTCTGATTAGCGTCGTTCCGGTATCAGTGCAAAGTGCTCCAGCCTGAAGCCGGCCACCGCAGCCCACAAGACATTCCTCTGATGGTCATGGTCACGTGTACCCCTTCCCAGGAGAGGGATTTCGCTGCTCGGTTCCCAGAGTTGAAAAGGGAAAGGGGAGAGGGGTAAAGGGGGGGAAAGTTGCTCAACCTGGCTGTGCTGATGTTAAGCCAGACGTGAGGCCTAATAGGGATGGGGGTGAGTTGGGACTAGGGTGAAACAGAAAAAGAAGCTGTTGGTGTTTTTCATGGCAGGAAAGATTTTTGGGTCACAGAGAGGGTCCTAAGAGGACAGCTGAGGTAGGGCAGTCCCAAACTAAATCAACATCCTGTGGATGATGACAGGGGAAGGCAATGGCGGGGTTGGGGCTGCTGGGCATTGAAGGGGAGGGGGCTTCTCAGTACCAGGGGATTCTGGAAGCTTACCTTTGCTCATAGTGAGCCTATTAGAAGGAGGAGCCTGGCTTTAGGACCTTGGTTTTGTTTTTTCAACTTTATTTATTTTATTTTTTTCCTTCTGGCTTGAGGTTTTCTAGAATGGACCACCTCTGTCCTTCACCATGGGATGGTAGTGGTAGGGCCTAGGGGTGATGGGCCCGATGTGGCTACAGCTGGAATCAGAGGCCGCGGGAAGGTTGATCTTGATGGTGGTCGGGAGGGGTTGGGGGCTCATCTGGGGCGTGGGTGACGTCTCCCACTGGGCTGGGAAGTAGAGTTGTTCACTGAGCAGAGCTGGTGGCCCACGTGGGATACAGCCTGCGGCTGGGCCCCGGGCCGGCCTCTAACAGGCTCTTGTACCCTGGTGGCAGGTCTTGGCCTATATTCTGCAGAGGGAGATCCAGGAGCCCGAGTGCAGGCACCTGTCCCGGAAGTTCACCGAGTGGGCCTACGGGCCCGTACACTCTTCGCTGTACGACCTGTCCTGCATTGACACTTGCGAGAGGAACTCGGTGCTGGAGGTGATCGCCTACAGCAGCAGTGAGACCCCTGTGAGTGGCCAGGGCTGGTCCTCTGCACCCCAGCCCCACCCCTGGTCCGGCTCTCAGCAGTGAAAACCCACTGCCCGGAGCCCATGCCCTGCAGCCTCAGCTCCCCATCCATTCCTTCTGAATGTCTTCCTCAGCATCCAAACAATATTATTTATATTCCCACAAAAATGGAAACCTTTCAGAAGTACATAGATAAAAAGAACCCTCCTTTTATACCATATGAAAATGTGTAGTTTCATTTTGTGTACATAAAAGAGATCATACTATACATAATGTAGAACAACCAGGTTTTTCTCTTACTGGCATGTCCTGTAGATAGTTTAATATCAGTCCATATGGGTCTTCCCCATTAAAAAAAATTGCATAGTAGAGGTGGGGAGTAAGTGGCCATAGAAGGACATTCAAGTTATTTCCAGTTTTTTGCTACCGTAGTACTGCAGGCCACTTGGCCTGGGTTTGAGAATTTTTCAATGAAGCATATTTGGAATTGCATTTGGTAAATCAAAAAGTATGTTCACTTAATATTTTAACAGCTACTGAATCAATGTACATGTCCACCACCAGTGGATACATAACTACCCATATCTTTGCCAACCTGAATATTACCAACCTTTTCTTTTTTAAACTAGTTTAAATCCATGGAGCCCAAAATGCTATTTCATTGATGTCTTAATTTTCACTTTTTTTTTTTGGCAACTGGCCAGTATGTGGATCCGAACCCTTGACCTTGGTGTCACAACACCCCACTCTAACCAAATGAGCTATCTGACCAGCCATTCATTTTCTCGATTACTGTGAACTTAAACATGTTTTTGTGTGTTTATCAACCTTTCATACTTCTCTGCTGGGTTTCCTACCTATTATCCTTTGCCATTTATTCTGCTGAACTGTTTATCTCATCCTTCTTGGTTTGTAGATATTCTCTTTACAGAATGAATTCACCCTTTCTTTATTGCACGTGTTGCAAATATTTTATTTTCTCCCAGTCTGTATCTTGCCTTTCAACTTTATTTACAGTTTCATTTGCTTATAAAAGGTTTTCATTTTGATAATTGGTTAGCCTTTTTCTTTTATTTCTTCTGTGACGTGTGTCTTAGGAGAGCCTTTTGCACTTCAAGATTACCCACATATCCTTCCATATTTTCCTCAAGCTCCTTTGTAGGTATCTTATGTTGGGCACTTTATCTAGAATTTATTTTTGTGTAAGTGTGAGGTAGTATATTACTTAATTATTTTGCCTCCAAATGAAGGTCTCAATGCTACTTATGAATAGTCCATCCTGCCACCACTGCTTTGAAAGGCTATCTTACCTGTCCCTTCTTTCTAAGGAGCCACTCTGAGCTCCTAAAGGAAGACTTAGGGGCTGGAGTCTGTGCTGTCAGCAGTGAGGGGCTGCCACAATACCTCGCAGGTCAGAGATTGTATTTACAGGAGCAGAGTCCAGGGGAGCGGGAGGCCTGGCTTGCTCTGCCTGTCAGCCCCCTCCTGGGCTGCTGTGCTGAATCTCAGTCTCTGAGTAAATCATGGATGCAAGTGTTCCTGGGGTGTGGTCCAGATAGGAAATGGCCCCCCAAAGGACTGAGGTGTTTGACTTGGAGAAGAGAAGGCTCTAGGGCCATAACTGACATCTTCATGTCCCCAAGGACTCTCAGAGGCTGGGAGCGTGGACTTGTCCTGGGCCACTAAGGCAGAGAAGACCAACTTTACTCCAAAGAATATCTCTCCCCTACAATTAGCACTTCTCCATAGGCTTCTGGAGGCAGCAGAGAGCTTCCCAAAGGTATTCAAGAAGACCCTGAACAGGAGCCTCACTGGGGGAGCTCAAGTGTGGAGTGTGGCCCGAGAGAGGCTGGGGTGATCTGATTTTGGTTCATCCATCCTAGGGATAGTTGAACTTCAATAAAGATCTCCTGGATATGAGGCTTTTGCCCCAGAGCATACTTGTGATATGGTATCCAGGCACTGGGCCCACCCACTGCAGGAGAGGCCCCCAGGTTTCCATCACATCTCATGCACAGATGATTGCCACCCCTGTCTGAGTCAGGGCTGGACATGTGAGAAATGAGGAATCCAGAGGCTCCTTCCTGCCTGCCCCCAGCCCTTCCCTGAGTGGCCTCGTGTCAGGCTCTGCCTGTGCCAGCTTCTTCCGTTATTGTGGGAATAGGCTCTCGGGAGTGAGTTATTAGAGGTAATGGGCATACAATGTTGGGCAACACTGTGGGCCCCTTAAGTGAGCCCTTGGGGCGTGTCCAAGTTCATCCCCATTTACTGTACCCACAGGGACACTGAGGCTGAGGTCTGGATCACACAGCCAGCCATTGCAGAGCTGCCTGCTGGTTCAGCCCTCCCGCAACCTTCGGCTGCTCCCTGGGCCAAAGCGTTGTGTCCCTGGATGGTTCATGGGTGTGGGGAGCACCATGGGCTGATGCAAGGGGGCTCCTGCTGGGAGGAGTCTCACTTCTCTTTTGCTCCCCTTAGAATCGCCACGACATGCTTCTGGTGGAGCCGCTGAACCGACTCCTGCAGGACAAGTGGGACAGACTTGTCAAGCGCATTTTCTACTTCAACTTCTTCGTCTACTGCTTGTATATGATCATCTTCACCACGGCAGCCTACTACAGGCCTGTGGATGGCTTGGTGCGCAGCCAGAGCTTAGCTTTGGCAGGGGACAGGAGGCTGTAGACTTTCCCATAAGACCTCCCCCAGGCCCAGGCCCTGCCCTGAACTCCTTCCCGGCTCGCTGGAGAGGTGGAAGGATCTCCTGGAGAGCCTTGTTTCCCTGTGATCAGTCTTCCCCCTCTCAGGCTGCCTGGGTGCCCTGTCCCCTTTCCTGTTCTCTGCCCCTCTCCTTTAGCTTTGTGGTCCTGGGAGCTGAGTGTGTGGTCAGTGAGGTCCCTGATTGCAAAGGAGGAGTACTCGGTTAGAAGGGATGCAGGAAGGACAGCTCAGGGAGCAGCTCACCCCTGGCCTGGGTGTCCACAGGGACATGGGATGGTGTAAGCCCCGAACCCATTGCCATCCAGCTTGCCTGCCCTCTTGTGGTCACTCGCTGACCCACTGTCCATTCCCTGCACTTATACTTTTGAGCACTTTCATGCCAGGTCTTGGGCCATCCATCAAATCAGCTTAAGACCAGACTCTTTTCTCTGGCAGGAATCATGGACTCAATTGAGTTTCTGAATTGAGTCCTTCTCGTTCGATTACCAGGGTGCTTAACTGATGCCATTATTTCCAGGGCTCCTTGCTTGCAAATTTGGCTTAAAAGCTCAACTTTATAGTTAAGTAAAACCTGATTTCTATCCACTTGTTAAGGTCATCTAATGACTTCATTTGAAGAGAAAAGAGAAATGTGCTAATAAGAGAAGCTAGTGCTTCCAAAACACTGATGGTAACTTACTCTAGAAAACAGTGGCTGAAACACAAGGACTATACCCATAGGTGTGTGGGGGACAGTCTTTCCTGCCATCATCTGTGGGAAACCCTGACACTCCTTGGAAACCAGGTGCTCAGCAAGGGCTGTGGGAGAGCAGGATTCATGGGGCATTGGGTTTCTAAGTGCACCTCCACCTATCCCATCCCCTTGCTTCCAGCCAAGCAGGGAGCTCCAGGCAGGGACATTGCCTGGGAGACAGCACTGCAGTGTAAGGATGCTCTGCTTGGCCCCTGGAGGCTGCCACTTTGGAGAATCAGGTCCCACAGAGGACCTGGGTCTTAATTGCACGGTTTGGCACCTGGTAAATATTTGTTGAATGAATGAATGGGTGAACGAGTGAGTGAATGGGGTCCCCAACCTCTCTGCATCTTGCAGCCTCCCTTTAAGCTGAAGAACACCGTTGGAGACTATTTCCGAGTTGCTGGAGAGATTCTGTCTGTGGCAGGGGGAGTCTACTTTTTTTTCCGAGGGGTAAGCATTCCTTCCCACACTGAGTTTCCATCATCACCAAAACAAAAAGCCAAAAGAATCACTCACTGTTCACTCACATTTTGTTAATCGAACACTGACCAGCCCTGCTTGAGGAGCTGAGAAATGCACAGGGGAAGATGGGAGCTCATCAGGCATTCTTGGCTGGGGGATGGGGGGTCTTCCCAGTGCATCCCCAAGGTCCAGGGTGTCCCCACGGGCACAGAGCAGTCAAGCTTGAGAATAGACAGGGCTCTCCACAGTGAGCCTTCCCTCTGAATGTAATGTTTAATTACAGAATTAGGGCGGAAGCTTCTCAAGTGACAGGATCATGACTGGTAGTTGTTGAATTAACCACAAGTCTGTTAGAGCTCAGGACAATGAAGGAAACCTACGTGTGTACTGGTACCATTTTATATTTTTAAATCTTAAATGTTTTAAATTTATTTTTTTATTGTACATGTTTACAGGGTACAATTTGTTGTTTCAAGACCTGCACATAGTGTATAATGACTTAATCAGAATAGTTAGCCTATCTATCATCACCTAAACACTTATCACTTCTTTTTGGTTATAACATTCAAGATCCTCTTTTCTGGCTATCTTGAAATATACAATACAATATTATTAGCTGTTGTCACCCTGGGGCACCAGAGCTTTTTCTTCCTATTTACTTGTAACTTTGTAACTTTGTACCAACATTTTTCCACCCTCTCCCTTTCCCTGCCTCTGGTAACCACTATTCTACTTTCTATTTCTCTTTTTTTCTCTCTTTTAAATTTATTTTTCTTTTTTCTTTTTTTTCCTCCTTTTTGTCTTTTTTCGTGACCGGCAACGGATCGCAACCCTCAGTGTCGCGCCCGTACCGGACCGGGACCGGCAATGGGATCGCAACCCTCGGTGTTGCACCCGCACCTCGCTCAGCCAGTGAGCGGCCGTTCTGTATGTGGGTTCCGAACCCTCGGTGGGAGCGCCGCTGCGCTCCCAAGCGGTGCACTGTAGCAGTGCGCCACTGGGCCGGCCCCTTAAATTTATTTTTCTTAATTGGCCCATGATAATTGTATACATTTACGGAGTACAATATGATATTTGGGTACATTCATAGTGTGTGCAATGATCACATCTGGGTGCTTAGTATATCCATCACCTCAAATGTTTGTCACTTTGTGTTGGGGACATTCAACATCATCTCAACTAGCTACTCAAAGATACGCAGTACTTTGTTGACTGTGGTCTCCCTATATTACTTTAGAACACTAGATCCCATTCTTCCTATTTCTCTAGTATTTTGTATTCACTGACTGGAACCATTTTATTTTAACTAAAAACTCTTACATGCACATCGCTTGGCCATTCTTCTAATGTAGGAACATTCTTTTCTCTGAATGTGGAACCACTGTTTGGAATTTTACATTACCCTTTTTCCAAAAACCGTATCTGTAACGTGTGGTTTATGATTCTCGTTTTAGCTTCTTTACACAAGTGAGAACTTAGATGTGTACAAAGAGAGCTGAATGTGGAATTGGAGATAATTGTGATTTTTAACCCCCCAATCTTTCTGGTCTAAGCTACATCCAATTTTTGTGTACGTGTGTGTGACTCATCTTTATGGAGTCTTTCAAAATTGTTGGACTTTGTCTCCACAGAAACAACTGTTTTTCTTTTCACACTCATAGTTACATTACAATAAAGTGCAAAGCCACAGGAGCAAGTGAAGCTGTCATAAAAGCCCTCTTGGCAAACACAAAGTTAACCTGTGGGAGGGAGCAGAAGTGTGTGGGTGTCCTGAGAGGACCTCCCAGGCGCCAGTGGTTAATCTGGTAAGCGAGCCCGGTGGAGGCTGGTTAAAATAAGTTTTATTCTAGAGCTTACTTAAGGAAAATCAAGAAAAAGCACCAGTTAGCCCATCATTCAGTCACAGCAATCGATAACACTTTGGTGATTCTCCTTCCTGTATTTTCTTCTAGGTGTAGTTGTAACTGCACTCTGTATTTTTTTTTTTTTCCTTTTTGTCTTTTTTCGTGACCGGCAACGGATCGCAACCCTCAGTGTTGCGCCCGTACCGGACCGGGACCGGCAATGGGATCGCAACCCTCGGTGTTGCACCCGCACCTCGCTCAGCCAGTGAGCGGCCGGTCTGTATGTGGGATCCGAACCCTCGGTGGGAGTGCCACCTCGCTCCCAAGCGGTGCACTGTAGCAGTGTGCCACCGGGCCGGCCCTGCACTCTGTATTTTTAAAAATCTGTCCTGACCACATCACATAACATTACCCCTGTAGCCTGACCGGTGCTGTCCAGCCTTTTCTGAATCTCTTTCATGCACTCCAGTGTCCAAACATGGTGCATTTAGGAAGCATTCTGGGTGCTCACCATTCAGCCACATCTAAAATTTCCTGGGATCTTCCTCTGATTGTTTACCTGCAGATCCAATATTTCCTGCAGAGGCGGCCCTCAATGAAGACCTTGTTTGTGGACAGCTACAGCGAGATGCTTTTGTGAGTGACACTTTGACTCTTGTGCCTTTTTGGTGACAGCAATCAGTTCTTTCTCATTATGTCACTTATGCTGGGCCCAGCACATAGTAGGACCTCAGTAGTCATGTTGAAGGAATGGTGGAGGCACTCAGTAGGTACTTGTTGGGTGATGACTACTGAGGACCACTCTGGGCCGGACATGTACTGGGTGCCGGGGGTTGACAAACTGTGCCATGGGCTCATGTGACTTCTAGTCTGAGTCAGGTGTATGCTTGTTCACGTTTTCCATCCATTTGTCCATCCATCTGCCATTCACTGGGTTGGCACCGAAATACTGAGATGAAATAGACATGGTTCCTGCCTTCGAGGAATTTCCGATCTTTAGGGCAGGGTTTCTCAACGTCAGCACTATTGACATTTTGGATTGGGTAATTCTCAGTTGTGTGTGTGGGGTGCTGTCCTGTGCATTGTAGAATATTTAGCGGTATCACCGGCCTCTACCCACTAGGTGCCAGTAGTGCTCCCCCCTGCCCCTGTTCATGACAATCAAAAATGTCTCCAGATATTGCCAATGGCCCCCACTTTGGTGTGGGGTGGGTGCCAGAATCACTCCTGCTTGAGAAACTCCTGCTTAAGGAAAAGACAGATAAGCAAAACCAGTTAGAGAACAATGTGTGTGTCACAGGGAACCCCTTCCTTCATAAAATCACCTGGATCCTCCACACCCCAGCATGCACAGGGGACTTTCAGATAGGGAGAGGCCAGTCTCCTGGGGTCTCCACTCTTGGCCTCTATTCTGATCCCTGTGTTTCCCTCATTCCTGGGGCCTCTCACTTCATTCCTGGCAAGAGCGATGATTTGATTTCTAATCCCATTGCAGCTGGCTTGTCCCTAAGGCTCACAAGCTCCATCCTTTACCCCTACTCTTGAGATTCCTATACTTAACCCCAAAGGGCAAACTCAGGGGGCAGGGTCTATAGGGTTAGCACAACATGGACTTGCCTAAGAGAAGCTATGTTTTCCTACATAGTGTTATTCCAGTAAACTCGAATAATCAAATGTAGGAGTTTCTTGTCCCCACCCTTCCCATTCCCTGCAATCCCTCTTCCTAGGACACTTTCCATTCTTTGAGCTCTTTCCTCTGACATTTACACATCTGTAGATGGGGTTTACCATCTTTGTACTGCCTTCACTTCTGCTTCCCCTTCTCCATCCTTCCTATGTAGCTATGTCATAATTTTTTGTTTTCATAGTACTCAGTATTTACATTCTTATGCTGCTGCAAACATGTTTCACAGTGGAGCTTCACGACATTCTGTATTATTTCTTTTCTTTTTTTGTTTCTTCAAAAGTTAATAATTGCCTTTTGTTTCACTTGTTGAGTTTTCTTGCACTTACTGCTAATTCTTCCCAAACCTCCCAAAGCCTCTCAGGACAATTTCCCTCAAAACCAATCACATGACTTACATGATCAGATCTCCCCCCGCCCCCCCCTTTTTTTTTCTGGAGGGATTTCCTGCTGGAGCCCTGTCTCCTCTTTCTTACTGGGCTAGTTGATCTGTAGGCCTGCTGCTTAGCTGCCAGCCTGTGAATTGTCATTGCTTTCCCCCACGTTAGAGTTCCTGTCTCTTTCTTATATCTTCCTGTTTTTTGGCTTTTTTCCCCCTGTTTTATTTGAGTGCATCCTTCAATATTTTCATCTGGTGAAAAAGATGATATAATGGTACAGGGCACGGTGAGGACAGTTTTCAGTGTAGCTGAATCTTGAGTCCCATCTCTCCCTTGTGCACAGGCGTCATTCCTTCACTAACACCTTGGGGATCCCTATCACTTCTCTCCTGACGTGGATCTCTTATTTGTTGAACCCTGTGTCTTCCTCTTTCCTGATTGACTTCCTTGTTTTGGGGGAAGACATATTGAACCAAAGTGAAAAGGCACATGGTAGGAAAAGGGGTGTAAAATTTCTTTAAAATATTGCACGTCTGAAAATATCTCTATTATATCATCACCTTTGGTTGATAATTTGGTTGGGCATAAAATTCTTTGAAAAACTCCAAGACATTTCTCCGTTGTTTCCTTGGTTCCAGTATTATAGATAAAACCATTCTGATTTTGGATCCTCTTTTAAGATCTGCTTTGGTTTTCCTCTTTGTAAATGTATAGTATCTTCTTTTTGTTCCTAGTGTTCTGAAACTTAATGATGTATTTTTATGTGTTTTTTAGGGGGGGCGGGTGGCTTGCTGGTATGGGGATCCAAACTCTTGACCTTGGTGTTGTTATAATACCACACTCTAAACAACTGATGAATTGGCCAGCCCTGTGTGCGTTTGTTTTTATTCCAATGTTCTTAGCATTTAGTGAGCTCTTTTAATCTGGAAATTTATGTTCTTTAGTTTTGGAAAATTTTCTTGAATTATTTCTTTATCTCTCTTCTGGAACTCCTATGATTTGTATATTGAACCTCTTGAAATAGCCCTGAACTAGTTTTCTTTTATTTCCTTACTTGTTCTATCTCTTGATCTTTGACTTTACTTTCTGAGAGGGTCGAATTAGGTCCAACCTCTCTACTGAGTTTATTATTTTTGATGTCATGTTTTTAATTTCTAAATGCTGTTTTAAAAATTCTCTGTATTCCTTATTTATAGCACTTTATTCTTGTTTCATGGATTCAATGTCTTCTTTTGTCTCTGTGAGGCTATTACAATCGTTTTTGAAAGTTTTTCTTCTTTTTGTATAGTTTTTCTTTTCTCCAAGTTGTTTCCCATTCTTTTTCTCTTTTATGTTAGACACTGTCCTCAGAATATCTGTAAATCCTTGATGTCTGCTATGATTAAGAATGGGGGACTGAAAAGCTGCTTGGAAGCTCTTGATATGTAGATGGGGCTGATCCATTTTGAGCTTCACTGTTGGCTGATCTAGATAAACCATTTATTGGAGAATTCCCGGAGTCAGTCTATTTGAGTCTTTCCTGGGTTTTTCAGATTTCATAGAGAGCATTTTCTCATTCTTGTACTTGGGGGTAAGAAGTCTGGCTGCCAGTTTTCTGAGAAGTGAGTGGGCTTTCTGTGATCTGCATTACATAAAATCACACAATCTCTCTGCTTTTAGTAAAACACCAATGCTGTCACTGGTGCTGGATGAACCTGGGTCCAAACACCCTCTGTTTTATCTTCTTCAGAGACAAAACCTCCACTCTTCCTTATTTTAGACCCCTTTTCACCTTCTTTCCAAGAGTCTCTAAGCCTTTCAAAGCTCTTTAATTAAAAGGGTTGGTTCTCAGCTTTCCCCACAGCGGGCTTCGGATTTGGCTTTCTTAGGTCTGCTGAGTCCCTTTCCATTTGTCCACTTCTTTCCAGCTCCCAAAATTCACATGTGGGGACCCCATTTGTTGCCAGAGACAACCCTTTACCTATTTCAGCTGGTGTCAGTTCTCATTTTGGCTCGGGGTTCTGCAGATGCTGAGGATGGTTTTTCTTTGCAGCAGAATTAGAAAATGGACTCCAGTTGATGAGCCAGTTTATAGGTATCAATTTTCAGTAGATTCACATCAGCACGGTGGTGGCTTTTTGCTGGGTTGTCTCACACAAATGCGAGGTGAGGTGGTCAGTGTGATCTACAATGCAAATGCGGCTAGGGGACTTTCTGGAGGAGGCCATGATGAACAAGGGGACCTGGGATGAATAAGTTAAGAAGGGACCATTGAGCAGACCCTGTTGTAGGGTCATCCAGATGTCCGCCACCCTGTCCAGGGTACACTTGGATACCCCTTGCTGGACTAAGGAGCTGAGGGACATTTTCTCTGGCTCTGCTCCTCAGTTTGAGGGTGTGGCCAGCAGGCCCTACCTGTGGTTTTTCAGGAGAGCATGGCTTGCCCGTCCTCACAGGCCTAGGGCTGCTAGATTATCTGCTGTCCTGTGAGGCTCTTATACCTGGGGACTGAGCAGGAAGGTTGTTGGGGCTACAGTACGGTTTCTCAGTCTTTTTCCTAATTGGCCCCCCATGAAGTTTTAAAAACACAAATATAAGGTATATCTGTGTATGAACTATATTTATGTCTGTGCTCTATACACATGAAGAGAATAAGATTTTGCACTCCTCCAACTAAGTTTTGCCCCTTGGGGGCAGCATTGCTCCCCCTGAGAATGCATGGGCTAATGGAAGCAGGACAGCCCTGCCCTCGCTCTCACCCTGGCCTGCGGTCTGGGCCTCAGAGGAGAAGCGCATGCAGCCTGAGGTCTTTTGTCTGTGGGGGTGCCAGTCCTCCCAGGTGCCTCTGGACAGAGCTTCCTGCCTCTCCGCCCTCAGCTTTTTGCAGTCACTCTTCATGCTGGGAACCGTGGTGCTGTACTTCACCCACCGCAAGGAGTACGTGGCTTCCATGGTGTTCTCCCTGGCCTTGGGCTGGACGAACATGCTCTATTACACTCGTGGCTTCCAGCAGATGGGCATCTATGCCGTCATGATCGAGAAGGTGGGTGTCCTGTGCCCATGTGGGTTCCCCACAGAGCCCTGTTTACCTGAGGTGTGTGAGGCACTGTCCCCCAAACTCCTTCCATCCTCTCTGTATTGTTTGGGGAGGTGCTGGTGTAGCTCCCAACCCATTCCCAAGGATCAAGCAATCTGGCCTTGATCCAGGTGTGGGGTCTTCCCTGAAACCCGACCCCTCTTCATACCAGGTCCCCTCTCTCCCGATCAAAACATGGGTGGAAGTTTGGATGATTTTCCCATGACATCTGAGCTGAAAAACACCAAACCAAACCCTCCTGCATGTTCTCCAATTCTCCAGTTCTACATGGGCTCAAGATTAACCCCACCCTCACGCAGTCCTGGCTCTCCCTTTGGCTTCTCCCTGGGCCTGGACTTGGCTCTGATAAGCCTGATCTCTCCTGCAGATGATCCTGAGAGACCTGTGTCGTTTCATGTTTGTCTACCTCGTTTTCTTGTTCGGGTTTTCCACAGGTAATGGGCTTGGTCAGGGCTGGTAGGAGGGCAGGCTTCTGCTCCCCTTCACTTCCTGATGACTCTGCAAGGGGCTGGGTGAGGGGGAGCCAGGTGGGGTAGACAGGTGTGTGGCTGCAAGGGACAGAGTGGATGGACAAAGCATGCACTGAAATGAGCCCGAGAGCCTGGAAATATGATTCATCAAACGTTTTGAGTGATTGTTGAGGTAGGGAGTGCTGTTCGCCTGTAGTATAGCTGCATTTTGGCTCTACTTTTGTTTTGACTTTTTACTTTGACATTATTTCAGACTTAAAGAAAATTACAAAAATAGCACAAACTTCTCCATACTCTTTACCCAGATTCCCCAAATTTTACCACGTTTTTTATCACTCTCTCCCTGCACACATGCATACACACGTACGCTTGAGTGTGCACACCCTGCACTTAAACAACACAGTAAGTTGCAGACGTGATCAACCCTTTACCACTAAGTAAGAACATTCTTTTACATAAACACAGTACAATTATCAAAATCAAGAAAGTAATAGTGATACACAGTATCAGCTAATCTCTCACCCTTCTTCAAATCTCACCGATTATCCTAATGACGTCTTTTATAGGAAATGAAAATCCCAGATTATGCATTACATTCTGTTGTCACGCTTCTTTCCTCTCCTTTAATCTGGAGCAGTTCCTCAATCTTTTGTGACCTTAGCATTTTTAATGAGTAAATGCCAGTTGTTTTGTACAATGTTTCTTAATTTGGGTATGTCTGAGATTTCCTTATGATTAGATTCAGGTGTGCATTTCAGTGCACTGTATCCGGAGTTACATGATGTCTGTCTGTCCCGTGCTGAATAGATTTAGCATTCATTGATGATTCTTACCTGAGTCACTTAATCCTGTAACAGTTGCCAAATGATGATTGTCTGGCTCCATCATTCCTTGTAGGTTTGTTAGCTGGCATTCTGCTGTCAGGAGGAGCTTTCCATCCCCCGCTGTTGGTTATTTATTTACATCAGGATGGCCTCATAGATTCTTCCCCCACCCTTATGGCTTCTCACTTTGTTCATTGGGTTATGTTCCTTACCATTATCATTTATTTTGATGCTCAAATGGTCTGAGATTTGATCATTGGGAGCCCCTTCAAGCTGACTCCTGTGCCCTTTTGACATGTGCATTTCACATTTTGAGCACAGGGCTCTGCTTTGATCCTCTTCCAAGTCCTGCTGTTACATGCATCACATGGTGCACTCTCCCCTGCTCCCACCCTGCAGTTTGTTTTGGAATCTCTGTCTGGAAGGGATGGGCAGCTGAGACTAGGAGGGACCTGAGAGGTGTACGCTTTGGCACAATCTGAAGACCCTGCCTATCAGTAACCACAGGAAGGAATTAGGCCAAAGGAGGTTAGTGGATACTGCTATGCAGTAACCACGGTGCAGGACTGCTATAGAAGCTTTCAGGCTCCAGACTTCACTACCCAAAGAGAATGTGGGAAGAGGCCGTTCTGCTCTGAGCAGCTCAACACTCATGGTTGTGGAATGTACCTTTAAGGGACACAGGTAGACAGGGCTTGACTGACAAAGTGTGTGTGGAGCCAGAGCTGACTTGTAAGGTTAAGCAGGTCATGCATTGTACAAAGTTGGCTGTATTCACATGGTATATATAAATTTGTATATTTACTTTGACATTTTAATAGCAGATGACAATAAAGTTCTTATAAAAAACCAGTATATTATGACAATTTTCTGATAGTTTTGAAGAAAGGGTGCTTTTTTAAAAAAAAATTCACACAAAGCTCCTGCATGGTTAAGCAGTATTCCTGCTGCAGACCCATCCTGAGATAGGAGGGTGTATGTCAGGGGACCTGGAATCTTGGCTTCGATCCAGATGCACCCCTCCCTTCCCATGCCCTGCAGCGGTGGTGACATTGATTGAAGATGGGAAGAACAATTCTATGCCCGTGGAGTCCACATCACACAGGTGGCGGGGACCTGGCTGCAGGCCGCCCGACAGCTCCTACAACAGCCTGTACTCCACGTGTCTGGAGCTGTTCAAGTTCACCATTGGCATGGGTGACCTGGAGTTCACTGAGAACTATGACTTCAAGGCTGTCTTCATCATCCTGTTACTGGCATATGTGATTCTCACCTACATCCTCCTGCTCAACATGCTCATTGCCCTCATGGGTGAGACTGTCAACAAGATCGCACAGGAGAGCAAGAACATCTGGAAGCTGCAGGTGGGTTGGCTGATGGGGTGTGCAGCAAGGTGGGAGTTGGCCACTCTGTCTGCTACTTTACATAGCTGGGCACATGAGCCCCTGAAGGATTTGAGGAGGGGGCAGAAAGCCCAGGCAGGCCCAGGGATCAAGCAGCAGCATCTCCATCAGTTGACTCCCTTCCTGCAGGTTTCTCTGTGGAACATCCTGTGCACAGTGTCAGATTAGCTCAGTTGGTGTTCACAGGTGCTGAGTTTGGCCTTGGGCAGGGTGCCCCAAGAGAAAGAGACAGTGAACATGATGTCCACCTCAGAGGAACTTGGTCTAGGTGGGCACTGGCGACTGGACCGGGGGTGGGGAAAGACAGCTAATATGGGGGCAGGACACTGACAGCTATCTTTCTGAGCCATGTGGTCCACATCTGCCTCCCCGACTAGCAATAATAAAGCATTGTTTTCATTAGGTAGCACTTACCCTATGCTAGATGCTGTTCTAAGTGTCTTACTTACCCGATGGCATTTAATCCTCACGATAATCCTATGACGTGTATCCTATTACTGTCCCATTTTTGGATAAGGCATTGAGGCAGAGAGAAGTTGGGTGTCTGTGTTCAAGGCCACATAGCTAGCAAGTAGCAGAACCTGGATTCAGCCCAGGCAGTCTCACTCTTGAAAGGCTCTGCTTTTAACCACTATGCTATGTTGCCCCCTTGTGAGCCCCTCTGGGAAGGGCCTAGGACTCTCCATATCACTCCAGGGGCTTCCCTGCCAGACCCAGCAGGCACCCGCACTGCTCCTCCCATGGACTGTGCATCCTCCAGGCTGCAGAAGGGATCTAGTGTAGAGGGCACCAGAGGGCCAGCTGTGAGGCTGGGGCTGGGAGAGACCCTGGAGAGGTTGATCCTGGCCGCCAGCACTGGCAGTCAGGGCAGCTCCTGGATGAGCCCTCTGCCCCTCCACCCTTTGTTTCTTCCTGCAGAGAGCCATCACCATCCTGGACACGGAGAAGAGCTTCCTCAAGTGCATGAGAAAGGCCTTCCGCTCAGGCAAGCTGCTGCAGGTGGGCTACACACCTGACGGCAAGGACGACTACAGGTGGTGTTTCAGGTAACGCCCAAGCAGGAATCAAACTTGGGGAGCTCTGGGCTCAGCTGTGGGCACAGGGCAGCCACCTTAGATCTCAGCTGGTGGCAGCGGATATTAAATACTGGAAAATTTGAGGTGTCCAGAAGTCATCTAGTGAGCAGGATCGGAACCAGGAATTCAAAATTGGAAGTCCCTGGGCCTCACGGTGTGGTCAGAGAACAAAGCTTCAGGGATGGTGTCGAAAAAACAGGCCCCTCTGTGTTTTCCCCCACCAGCTGTGATCTATGGGTTTCTTGGAATTGGCCTGTGTGGCCAAGTCCTCGGCCTGGGAGGCTGGGCATGGCTCTTAGGCTGCCAACTCTCTGTTCCCCCTGTCCTTGCACTGTGCAGGGTAGATGAAGTGAACTGGACCACCTGGAATACCAACGTGGGCATCATCAATGAAGACCCGGGCAACTGTGAGGGCGTCAAGCGCACACTGAGCTTCTCCCTGCGGTCAGGCAGAGGTGAGGTGTGGGGGGCGGGTGCTGTGGCAGGGAGGGGCCTCCTTGGCTGGTGGCCTGATGTTGGGCAGGTATAGCCTTGCAGGTGGGTCCCCCACTCCTTGCAAGCCTTCCTCATCCTCATGGAACCTGGATGGAGTAACAGCTGCCAAAGTCGGCCACACACACACACACACACACACACACACACTCCATCTCAGGCACTCTTGCATGCCTTCGCACGCCTGCATGGTGGACTGCTCGTGTGCCCATGTGAGCCCGTGTGGCTGCTGTGCCAGCACTCTGGCCAGGCACCTATCCTCAGTGCCCAGAGGAAGAGCCAGGCCCACATCCAGCCACCTAAGGCGGCCAGCTCACGTGGCTGCCCCGCCTCCTCACCCTGTCCCTTACTACAGGTGTGTGTGCTCAGCTCCATGAGGCTCTGTAGGGACACACACAGGTCCGTGTGAACACTTCCTTCTCAGGGGAGGGTGAGAAGGGTCAAGGTGACACCTAGAGCAGAAAAATCCTGGGGAAAATTTACTACCAGAAAGAAAGTCACTTAACACTTAATGGCAAACATTTAACAATAAATATTAAAGGTCTAATCGAGGACATTTACTTATAAATGAAGCAAAAGTAGTTTATAGTGAACAAATTTTGAGTTATAATTAGAAGCCTGTCCTAATTCCTTGTTTTAAAAAAAATTGTAGTAAAATATATATCACATAAAATTTACTATTTTAACCATTTTAAGTGTATAATTCAATAGCATTAATTACATTCACATCATGGTGTCACCATCACCACTATCTACTTTCAGAAGTTTTTCAACATCCCAAACAGTTAGCTCTGTACCCGTTAAGCAATAACCCTCCATTCACTGTTCCTCCCAGCCCCTGGAAACTTCCATCCTACTTTCTGTCTCTATGAATTTACCTACTGTAGGTACCTCTTATCAGTGGAATCATGCAATATCTGTCCTTTTGTGTCTGGTTGAACAATATTCCATTGCATGCATAAACCACATTTTGTTTATCCATTCATCTGTTGGTTGGCAATTGAGTTGTTTCTACCTTTTTGGCTATTGTGAATAATGCTATGAACATGGGTATATAAGATTCTGCTTGATTCTCTGCTTTCAATAATTTTGGGTGTATGGCTAGAATAGAATTGCTGGATCATATGGTAATTCTATGTTTAACTTTTTGAAGAACTGCCAATCTGTTTTCCAAAGCACTGTATCATTTTACGTTCCCACCAGCAATGCATGAGAGTTCTAATTTCTCCATATTTTTACCAAAACCTCTATTTTTTTCATTATAGGCATCCTTGTGGGTTCAAAGTATTATCTCATTGTAGTCTTGGTTTGCACTTCCCTAATGACTAGTGATGTTGAGCATCTCATTTGTCATTTGTAGATATTCTTTGAAGAAAAGCCTATTTAAGCCCTTTGCCCATTTTTGAATTTGGTTGTTTGCTTTTTGTAGTTGTATTGTAGGAGTTCTTTATATATTCTGAATATTATTCCCTTATCAGATATATGATTTACAAATATTTTCTCCCACTCTGTGGGTTGTCTTTTCACTCTCTTGATAGAGTCCCTTGATGCACAAATGTTTTTAATTTTGATGAAGTCTAATTTATCTAATTTTTTTCTTTTGTTGCCTGTTGTTTTGGTGTCATAATCAAGAAATTATTGCCAAATTCAGTGTTGTGAAGATTTTCCCCTGTGTTTTCTTCTAAGAGTTTTATAATTTTAGCTCCCTAGCACTTTAGCATTGCTTTTTTCTTGATTTGGCATTTGCTTGGTTGCTGTAAACCTTGGACAGTTTTCCAGAGTTGTGACAATATTGGTTCTAAATTTCTCCTTGTCTTTTTGATGCTTTTGTGGCTAGATGGGTATTTGGAGCTACCTACTTTGCCATTTTGCTGATGTCACTCTTGAACTAATTCTTAAAATGAATGAAGAATAAATCAAATGTTGATAGGTTTTTTTTTTTTTTTTTTTTTGGGGGGCAGGAAGGGGGAAGGGGCATTATTTTCCAGATCACCTTGCCTGATAGCATGATACTGCATCTTCTGTATTTGATATTGCTTCATGGAGAAGATCATTTAAAAATATTTCATAAACTTAAAAAAAATCAACCTTATTGAAATATAATTTACATATGAAATGCACATATTTAAAACTTCAGTTTTATAAGTTTTGTCAGCTGTACAAACTCAGACAGCCAACACCTCACGCAAGATATAGAACATTTTCCACCATGCCACAAAGTACTCTATGTCACTTTGTAGCCAATTTTATCTTCCGCATCCCAGGTGACTACTTATATAATTTCTATTATTATAGATTTGTTTTGTATCAGCCTGTGTTACCTGGAAATGTCTATTTCATCTTTATGTATGTTTCACTTGGTATAGAATGCCAGGTTAACTTTTTAAAAATTTCAATACTTTAACTGTGTTTCTCCCCTGTCTTCTGGCCTCCATTGTTTCTGATGAGTTCTCATCAGAATGTAATGTCTTTTTTTCTCTCTGAATGCTTTAAAAAAATATTCTTTTTATTTTTGGTTTTCAGCAGTTTGACTAAGGCATGTTTAGGTATGATTTTCTTCATTTTTATCATGGTTGGGGTTTGTGGAGATTCTTGGATCTGTACATCAATATGTTTAATTAAATTTGGGAAACTATATATATATACACACACACACACACACACACATATATGTATATACGTAGTATAGCTGTATTCTTCCTATCTTCTTATTTTGGGACTCCAATTACATGTATGTTAGACCATTCAATACTGTCCCATGGGTCTCTGAGGCTTTGCTCATTTTTTTCTCATTTTTTTTCCTCTCTGTTTCTCAAATTTGATAATTTCTTTTGATCTGTCCTCAAATTCACTGACCCAGTCCTCAGCCATCTCCAAATTGCTATTAAGCCCATCTAGTGAATTTAACATTTCAGGTATTGTGCTTTTTGGTTTTAGAATTTCTATTTTTTTTTTTTTTTTGTTTGTTTGTTTGGCCAGCTCCATGGTTCTTTTTTATAGTTGTAATTTTTCTGCTGAGATTCCATAGCTATTTCTTCATTAAGACCATATTTTCCTTTAGTTCTTGAAACATACTTTGAACATAATAGCTGCTTTAAATTCTCTGACTGCTAAACCCTGGTCCTTCTTGAGGTCAGTTTTTATTGACTGCTGTTTTTCCTGACTATGGGTCACATCTTCCTGTTTCTTTGCATGTCTAATATTTTACAACTGCATACTGGACATTGTAGATAATATACTGTAGAGAGTATGGAATCTGCTACCTCCCTTTGAAAGATATTAAATTTTTGTTCAGTTGCTAAATCACCTTGAACTTGTGTAGGCTTAGTTTTGAACTGTGTTATGACAGATCTGTGGAAACCCCAAGGTACTTTCCAAGCCCATTACACCTGTGGGACTCAACCTCCAAATTCTCTTTCCACTGAGGATCTTGTTAGGGCTTGGTTTTAGGTTTTGTTGGGGTGGGTCTTCAGTAGGCCTTCTTTAGGGCATGGTCCTTACTCCTAAATGAGGCCTTTCTGGTATCTTAGCTTGATCCTCAGAGCATTTAAAGAGGTCTCTTCACTGGCTGGGCTGGACCTCTGATATCCCCTCAGTACTGCACAATCTTTAACATCTCTATCTCACTTTCAATCCCATAGCAGACACTCTCTAGTAAGTTTCCTGAAGTCTCACCATGAACAAATATAACCCAGGTCTCAGCCAAGAACTTGTGGACAACCTGCCCACCCCAAAGACTTCTGGGCCTCTACCCCACAATTACTTCTTTCTCTTTTCCTGTGCTCTGCTCCACAGATTCTAGCTACTTCGGCTGCCCAAGACTTTGATTTCTTCCTCTTCAGCTCAGAGGCAATTCCATGCTTTACTTGGACTGCAGTTTACTGCACTGTAGATGGAGAAATTGTTCCTAAGCAGAAAGTCAGGGTGATCATAGGGCTCACTTTGTAAATTTCACTTCTCTCAGGGATTGTAGTTTTTCATTGCCTGTTGTCCTATGCCTAAAAACATTTTTTTTTTTATTGGTGGCTGTCCAGTATAGGGACCAAAACCTGGACCTTGTTGTTTTCAGCAACATGCTCTAACCAACTGAACTAACTGGCCAGCCCTGCCTAAAAACATTAGCTGCAGTTGCCTCCTCTCGCCATGTGATCTGCTTGTACTCGCCGGCTGTCTGCCACTTTCCACCATGAGTAGAAGCAGCCTGAGGCCCGTGCCAGATGCAGTTGTCCCAGAATCGTAAGCCAAGTAAACCTCTTTCCTTTATAAATTACCCAGTCTCAGGTATTTCGGTTATAGCAATACAAAACAGACTAAAACAACATGGCAGCTGTCCTTTCCCAGAATGAGAAATCTGAGAGAGAGAGAGATCAAGCCAGGCACCAAAATGGAAATTACAGTCTTGTATAACTTAATCTCAAAAGGGAACCCCCATACATCGTTGGTGAGAATGTAAATTGTTATAGTCATTGTGGAAAACAGTATGGAGATTCCTCAAAGAAGTGAAAATAGATCTACCTTATGACCCTGCTATCCCACTGCTGGGTATATACTCAAAGGAAATGAAATCAGTATATCAAAAAGACACCTTTACTCCCATGTTCATCGCAGCACTATTCACAATAGCCAAAAGATGGGATCAAACTAAATGCCTATCAGTGGATGAATGGATTTAAAAACTATGGTATATACACACAATGGAATATTATTCAGCTATAAAAAGAAATGATGTCTGCTGTAGATTTGATGACCCCCCCCCAACCTCAGTGAAGCTTAAATCCCCACTGTAATTGCTGAGGGTGGGAAACCCTATTATGGTAATTAAAAGGTGGGGCCCTGAAGAGGTGATTAGATTGTAGGAAGGACCATGTCATAGTAAACGGTTTAATAATGGTGGTGGGAGTATGGTTCTGAGGGCTTTAATAGGAGAACACGTGAGAGTCTCTTCTGCCACATGAGACTCCTG